GGATGGCTTGTCACGTGGGGCCGTTTTCACGACGGCTGACTTGGCGAAGGGGTTTCAACTTGCGAAGGGGAGCGGAGGGTTCTGGAGAGGAAGGGACTCTAGAATCTGCCACTTCGTAAGTCCTGCCGGGTAATCTTTCGGCGGTATAGAGAATTTGATTTCGTTTTATTATTATTTTCTTTAATTGTTTCATGATAAGTATGTGTGATGGAATCATTTGAAACTCCATAGATTATTTGTTTGTCTATTTGTTTCTATTTATTTGTTTACCATTGACCAAAGTAGGAAAGCATATTCAAAATAAGAAAAAAAAAAGGATGTATAGAAAAGAACAAGAAGTAAAAAAAGAAAAAAGAGAGTCTATAATTGTTAAGATCTTATTACTGAATTTCCTTTACAGGTTTTCCTTTGATTCTTAAAGTTTTGCATCTTTTTTTTTTTTTTTCTTACACAGTCTCTGTTTGTAACCTCTTCTGTTTCCCTGTTGCTGTTTGCTATTATATTTGCATTTATATTTATTGATTTGTACTCTTAGTGTGTATAAAAGAGAGAGAGATTAGAAGAAGATTCTGAAAGACAGTGAAATGGATCTAATGTATATATATATATATATATATATATATATATATCTCAATTGTTTTCTTTTCTTTTTTCTTTTTTCTTTTATTGTTATTATTTTGGCTGATGAAACTTTTATTATTAATGAAATTGATTAGACGGCGGTGTGAAGAGAGAGAGTTGAGTGTTAACTCATCTATTCTGTTCTCGCCTCTGTTTTTCTCCGTGTTGCTGGAGAAGAAGAAGAGAAACTGACATTACTTCATTTATCAACATCAACAAATACAAATAAGAAAAAAAACAAACAAACAAACAAACAAATAGATAAAACTTAACATCAATCAATCAATCAATCAATAAAGAAATAAATAAATAAATAATCCATTAAACACAAGAGACGAAAAAAAAAAAGAAAAGAAAAGAAAAGAAAAGACGATGACTCAACGACCCGCACGTCCATTACGACTTTTACAATCCTCATGGAATATGAATCTCGTGCGGGAATCCACACAAACTCCTTCTTCTTCTTCTTCTTCTTCTTTATTGGCGGTGTATAAACCCAGCGGCCTTCCATACTTCTCCGCCTCTCAACTCACACCGCAGGGAAATCATTCCGCTTCCAATGCCGGTAGTGGAAAACATCTCTTCACCGCCGCAGCCGCCGTCCATCATTTACCAGCCGTCTCCACAAGTGATATGAGTGATTCTCTTCTCAGTCGATTAACGGATTTACTTCCACCAGGAAAAGGTACACCGCGTATCGTGTTGCCTCTCATGCATCCCGCACTCACACGGTATAGTTCCGCTGCGTATGTGAATGGACTTACTTCTCAACGTAAAGGGACGACACTTATTGCGTGTTCTTCTTCAGAGTTTATGTTTCTTCGTAATTGTCATTATTTACGGCTTGTGCGAAGTGTTTATCGTGTGGTTTGTCGGATTCCATCATGTGTGGCTGCCCGAGTGCGAGTAAAGACAAGAACACAAATGACAGAAGAGCAGGAAAGGAAAAATGCATTTAAGAATCCATACATTCAACAATTCCTTCAACAATCAAGTGGATCTTCAGGAGAAGTAGATGGTATTTCATTAGACACGAATAATATGAATAGTAGTAGTAATGGAAGTGAGAGTGTGGGATTACCAAGATGTGCATATCCACATCCACTCCTACAAGGAGGTTTTTACAATATCAAAGAAAGGAAACTACTACGCTATGGTACAGTATCTGGATATCTTAGTTCATATAAACTACCACGTCATTTACAAACTGTAGTGGCTCAACAAAAACGATTAAAATCCCTTTTTCTTTCACCAACAGGTGTACATACCACCACTTCTTCTTCTTCTTCCACTTCATTATTATCATCTCATACACCTGCTATTGTGAATGAAAATAACTGTGAAGTCTGTAGAGTCAAATCCACTGCTGGAATAGACACGGAATCCCATCCATGGATAGAAGAAGAATACCGCATGCGTGTAGGACTGGATGTAAAGATGGCAGCAGGAAAAACAACGGCATCTGAAATACATGAATTACAAGAGAATACGAATAATAATAGCAACGCATCTTCTTTAGATTTATTATCATCACAAACACGAGGATTACAATCTATTGTGGGAAAATCATTTAAATTTGATTTTAGACTTGTACGTATGAGTGAGTCCTGTGAGTTTGCCTTGTATGAAGTCTCTACAAATGATGCCTCTGAGGAAGAAATCAAAGCCGCCTTTGCCGCTTCTAATCTCTTTGTATTAAATGATTTTGTAAATGATATGACCTTAGCGAATGCCATGATGGAAGTTACTCAACAACTTCATAGACTTCCACAGGCAAAATTATCTCAATTACCAATGGCACTTCAACATACACTTCGACAAGGTTCTCCTGTGGAGTTGGTAGCTGAACCTCTTTTCACCACAACAGCTCCATCAAGTAATATACATACATCATCCTCTACCTTAACAGAACATGTGAATTCCTGTGGATATCGTTATTCATTTCTTTTAGAAGCTCTTATGCATTTAAATAACGAATCCGCTTATCAACGTGTGGCTCAATTGGCTTTAGGATCTGGTGTGGAATGTGCAGCTATTCATTTCCCAGATCCAACAGAAGACTCTAATGCCTATGCAGTTCAACATTTATTACTACGTATGCAAGAAGAAAAAGAAAAAGAAAAAGAAGAATTAACAGATGCGTATTGTAAAAGAGTAGCGGATCGTATGATATTTGTGAGTCGTGGGATTTCAAATGAATGTGAAACTTACAATAGTGTATTAAATAATAATGATCATCGATTACAAATCCCATCACCAGAAGAAATTTCTAATTTGTGGGGTAATGGACCTATTTCTGCGGCTGTACGAAGAGAAGAAATGAGTGAATTGGGATGTGTATATTGTGGGGCAAGTGGACATGTGTGGAGTTCATGTCCAGAGGGATTTCCATTGTTAACAAATGAAGTAACAAAGGCGAATACATCATTAGATAATCATAGTCACAATACTAATGAAAAGGAGAATAATAATAATAATAATAATAATAATAATAATAATAATAATACTTCCATGTTAACAAGCAATATGGATCCCCATAGGAAAGAGGATACATCTAATACTATGCTTCTCTCAACTGTAGAGGATGTACGGGATGCTCTTCAACAAACATCTACAGATTCCACACATACCAATATATATACATGGAATACGGAGAAAAGTGTGATTTCTATTCCCAACACCGCCAGTACGCAGGCATTTAATCCACACGCCTATCGTCGTAATAACGCACGGCCGGCATTACATCAACATCGTTTACGTTGTGCCTACTGCAGTGGACGACATCACATCACACAATGCCCAAAACTCTCCGGTGAGGCTTCTGAAGATAATAATAATAATAATAATAATAATAATAATAATAATACACCATATCTTCACAGTGAGAAATTTCCTCCACATGTGAAGGAACGACTCTTTTGTATTAAATGTGGACACTACGGACATCTTTACACAAACTGTCCATCTCTGCCAACGGGTCTACACACTGCTCTTCACTGTCCACTGTGTTTACTACCGCATAGAAAGATTCGACACACCCCAACGCAGTGTCCACGGCGTGTGAGTCCACCGCGTGATTATTTACCAAATGGAGTGCCGGCCGCATTTAGACAAGAAGAGAAGAGTGGGACTCATCATCGTAAACATAACAGCATGAGATCTCGTGGTGGGAGTGGTGGAGTACTTCTCTCAGATTCTTTTCTCTCACAGAAGTAATAGAATAAACTATATATATATATATATATATATATATATTTTTTTTTTTTAATGCTTGTCTGGGTTTGCTTATTATAATCGGAATGAGTCATGAGAGTTAAGTTATGTTGATCCTTAAAAAAAAAAAATTAACACGATACGAATTTCTTTTTTTTTTTTTTTCTTTGCATTTGTTTGTTTGTTTGTTGTTGAAAGGAGAAAAGATCTCTTGACACTATTAAAAAAAAAAAAAAAGAAAAAAACACTGTCTGTTATGCTTTAACTGCAATACTATGGAATTTCTATTTCTTTCTCTTTTTCTCTCTCTCTTTCTCTTTATTTTTGTTTTTATCTATGAACAACTATATATATATCGAATAATAAGCGCCGACATAAGAAATATAATTTGTACTATTTGTGTATACTAAGAAAAGAAAAAAGAAAAGAAAAGGGTCTGTGTTTCTTTCTTTCTTTTTTTTTTTTTTTTCTTCTTTCTCTCTCATCTCTCTTTTATCTATCTCACTGTATTTTGTGTATATAAAGAGAGTGATTATATTCAGAGATGTGGGGTCATTGGAGTGATGTGACGAAGAAACTAAAAGATATTGCGGTGGAGATCACCACACCGCAGTATGAACAGCCAGAGGGATCCGAAGATGAAGAAGAAGAAGAAAAACATCAACAACAACAAAAGAAAGCGAAAACTCAAACAAGAGTTAAAGAAGAAGAAGGAGAACGAAAAGAAAGAGAAGAAAGAGGAGTACAGGAAGAAACACGTAGACAATTATTGCCAGTACTTCAACAGGCAAATGATGAGATGAATGCAACCCATACACCTTTACCAAGGGATCCCACACAAAACTATCAAACTAGTACCAGCAGTCAGAAGAGTGTGAGTAATAGTAATAGCAATACTAAGAGTAACTCGGAGTATAATAATAATAATAATAATAATAATAATAATAATAATAATAATAATAATAATAATAATAATAGAATCTCTGGTTTAGCGTTGGATGAACCTGCGGCGGTCACACCACCTGTACGCCGTTCAGTACCCTCTGAAGTTGTGCTCACACCACCAACACGAAATCCAACAACTAGAGTTTCTCTTGACAACACGGGAGAGAGATCTTTCTCTGCACGTGAATCTCAACTAAAATCATTAGATCGGTCATCTGAAAAGGAAGAAGAAAGAGAAACCTCACCAGCCCCAATAGTAATAGATGCGAAGAATAATGGTAGTTTAGCTGTATGTAATCACGAGGGACTCATAGCAGAACTACGTGAACAGGTACATCTATTGACTGAGCAGAAACAACAAATGGATCATCAAATCTATAATTATCAAAGAGAAGTCAGAGAGGCACAAGAGAAGACAGTGGCCTATTATGAAGATCGTCTGTTAATACTTCAAGAAGAATTGGAATCTGAAAAGAAGGAAAAAGAAAAAGTACGAGAAGAACTTCAACACCGTGATTCCGAATGTTTAAAACTTCGAAAAGAAGTTCAAACATTACAGCAACGAATAGAGGAATTAGTGAACGAGTCTGCTAGTATAAGAGTAGCACATGATAAAGCCGAAGAAACACTTTTATTACGTGAAGAAGAATATATGAAAGTGATTCAACAAGTGGAATCTCTACAAGATGCACATGATGCCCTTGTAGAGGAATTAGAACGAGTAAAGAGAAACTTAACAACAACAACAACAACAACAGCTACTACTAATACTAATACTACTATTAATAATTCTCCTTCTACTGTTGCTGCTGCTACTACTGTACCGATTGCTCGCTCAGATGCTCTTATGTCTACACAATCCACACATATTGAGGAGGAACTTCGTAAACATGCTGAGAGATTAGAACAGGAAAAACTTGCCATTCAATGTGAAAGAGATCAGTTATTGCGATTATTTGAAAAGGAGCAACTCACTCACCGTACGACTTCAGAGGAAAGAGATGCGTTACTGCAGCGTAGTGAACAACAGGCACGGCGATTAAATGAATTGATTCAACAACTTGAGAATGAACAGCAGGATGCGAAACAGAGAAGAGAAGAAGAGGAACATCATAGAGAAGAGGAGAAAATAGCTATAGAGTCAAAGCAAAAACGACAAGAACAAGAAGAAACAGAAAAAGAATATTTAAAAGAAACCATATCATTACTGCAAACGGAAGTAACCACATTGAAATCCAAGTTAGAGGCGGCTAAACGTGAAGTGATAGAAACCGCACAACAAGTGGAATCTAAACTAACAGCCGAACACACACATGCCATTCAACGTGAATTAACTGAAACCCAAGAACGGGCCGTAAAGGCTGAAAAAGAGCGGGCAGCATTAAAAGAGGAATTACATCAATTACAAACCCGCTTGTCGGAGTCCGACTCCCACACGGCGGTGTTGTCCAGTCAATTAGCCGCAGCCCAAACAAGTGTAGTGGAATTGCAGTCAACTCTCGCCGCTACTCGAGCAGCGAATGCAAATGCCGGACAAGAAGCCTCCATGATCGCCGCTCTCACAACCCGCAAACGAGAGTTGGAGGCGGAGAATGCACGACTGCAGGAATTATTACAACAATTAGAACATACGATCACAGAATGTCTTGTGCGGGCAGATGTGGAGATGCCACCACCATCATCATCTTCACAACGAGACGATGTTGGAGCGTCCTTTTCTGATAAAGTTATTCTTCTTGCAAGTGAGTTTAATAGACTTGTGGATGTTAGTCGACGTGCAGGCCATGTACAGAAGGAATGGGAGCGTACATATGAACAGGCTCGTAGTGTGAATGCCACTCTCACACAACAGGTGAATGAGGCATGGAAAACAATAGGTTCACTACGGGAAGATCTTTCTGTGCGAGATCAATCCTTAGCGAAACTGAAACAACAATTACAGGCAGAAAAACAACAGTACCGTGATATTCAACATGCTCTTTCAGGTGTTACGAATGAACTTCAGACACTTAAGGAAGAAAAGAAATTATGGGAGGCACAGATGTCTGTTATTGGTGTTCCTGCTGGTAGTGGTGGTAGTAATAGTAATAATAATAATAATAGTGTTAGTAGTGGTGGTGGTAATAATACTAGTGGTAATAAAAGGAATTCCTTAAGTATGGTAAATCAACAACAAGAACAGATAGCGGCATTAAATGCAGATATTGACACATTGAAAAGGGCATTAAATGAACGTGATGAAGAATTAGCTCAAACTCAAATGAGTTTAGATAATTTACAACAAGTACTTGATACTTTCACACAGAATAAAAGTCGTGATCTAGAGGAACGCACTGTTGATATGCAAATAGAAATTGACAAACTAAATGCGAAACTTGAAGAAGCAGAACAACAACAACGAAATCATCAAAATGATATTGAAGCACTTGTAGCCACTCATAGACGAGAGATTGCAGCAAAAAATTTGGAAATTACATCTATGCATCGTAAACTTGCTGATCTCCGTCGAGCATTAGATGAAACAGCACGACAACTCAATGGAGATATGATGATTGATAAACGTGTGATTAGTCATCTCACTGTAAATTACATTCACGCCTTTGTCGGCCAACGACCTGAGGCGGATGAAATGCTTAAAGTTCTCAGTGGTTTACTCAATTGGGATGAGGAAATGCAAGAGAAGGCGGGTTTACTCCCGGGTCCTAGTAATCCAAGACCAGGTCAACAGAGAAAACGCAGAGGCCTCATTGGTGGATTTGTAAATACCGTATTGGGAGGCCCAGGAAGACCACGAGAAACAACATCAACAACTGTGGGAAGTAATGATGGGAATAATAAAGGGAGAAGTGGGGCCGCGCCGAGTATTTCTGAGTTGTGGGTGGAGTTTCTCATTCGTGAGAGTGAGGCGGGAATACGAGATGCGGCGGAAGAGCAAACACAACCACCAACCATTACTGATATTATTACTAATACTACTACTACTACTATGGGGCTTGTTTCTGATAATAAGGAAGAAAAGAAAGAAGGGGAGGTTGTTGCGGGTCCTTTGACGACGGCGGTAGAAATTGGTGGAAAAACCATCACAGATGGAGAAAACCAAAATAGTGAGAAGGAATCGATAAAATGAAAGTAAATAATACTGCTTTAAGTGTTTTTGAAAATTTTTTTTTTTTCGTGTATGTGTGTGTATTTGTGTTTGTAGGGTTTGCAGGTATGTATTACGGTTGTACAATAGTACCTTGCAGTGTTTTTTTGCTTGTTTTTTTTGCAGTGTTTGTTTATTTTTCCTCTTCATTATATATATATATATATATATATTATTTACATACTTACTTGATGAGTCTCTCTTTCTTTTCTTTTCTTCTTTTTCAAGTCTCTTTCTCTCTCTCTTTATGACTGCGTTACTTGGGTTAATATGGGGAGTAGGAGCTGTGTCTATATCTATACACAATATTACCTTCCCAACATGTGCGCAACAGTACAGAAAAGAAAAGAATAATAATAAGAAGAGGTATGAATTACAATTAGCCGAGAGAGAGAGAGAGAGGGGAGGAGGACTAAGTTGAGACCAAAGTGTATATATGACTCTTTCGATAAACTCAGAATCTTCATTCTTGGTGTTTCTGACTGTGTTCATAATCTTTTTTTTTTTTTTTTTCATTGCATTGCTGTAGTGTTTGGTCTATTTTATTGCCTCACTTTTTTTTATCTTTTTTTTTTTACTTTCTTCTTCTTTTATTGTTTTTTTTTTTTTTTTTTT